GCGAATCGCGCGATTCGCTAGCGTCCGCGGTCGCGTTGCGGTACCAGCCAATTGAGTGATTCACTGGCCGCGACGCGACCGCAGACGCTAGCGAATCGCGCGATTCGCAAAGTCTGACATCGGCCTAAAGCGGAGTACCCTTTGGAATGCTGATCAAAGGATGATATTGTTGGCAACACACTATGGTCGGAGCTCAGGAAGGATTGGCAAGCCAAGTGCGTTGCAACTAGAGCACCTCATGCCGCGAAGTCACATCTCGCTTTCGTTTTCGCCCTAACTACTGCTTCCACTACTGCATGTATTTCCATGCTGCACACGCACTTTATCGTAATCTCTCGCTAGAGATCTCAAAACCTCTGCCAAAACTATAAAGAAACCAAAGGAATGTTTTTGTAGAGCAGACATTCCCTTCGAATGGTATATGAATTTTAAAAACTTGGGACCTTAATAAGAAATTTTCCGATAGAAGAAGAGCTTATGACACTACTTATGAGACAACTTAATTACACAAAAAATTACACAAAATTACACAAATTACAGTTATTACACAAAAACAGCAACAATAATACGTAATCTCCTACCGATGGCTCACCCTGCCTCGATTACTAAATACAATCGGTCATTTCAGCTATTCGAAATAGGTTATACACATGCATGGCTGCTTGTGTTCGTTTTTCTCTCTCTTCGATTGGTCTTGTTGCCTTGAAACTTTGCAAGGAGCAGGAACTTATTTGCCTGATCAAATGGTCCGTAATCAAACCACAATCTTTCAGCGAGCTCACCGATTATACCCCTCCCCCTCCTCTCCCCCCACTTATCCTCCTCGAACACGACTGGAACGACCCGTTGTAACGAAAGTGCGCCCAAGAAATGTCGTGACTTTATTTATTCTATCCCAGAAACGAGCCTATTGATTAGAATATTTACAGAAAGCTGTGAACCTTCTGAAAGAGACCGTGAATAAGTGCTGTCCCACAAGGGACATACGATTGTGGGGTTCCATTGGATCGTACGCGATTTGCTTTCGTGGACAAGCAGCGGAATATACAGGATTTTTTGTAGATATCCCGGGACCGCCGGACATTTTGAAGGTGATCCTTGTTCCATTTAATATCTTATCTTCAGGGCTGATTTCCAGTAGAAATGCCTTTTAGGAAATGACTCTATATCATGGAAAACAAATTGAAGCCATGATGAATGCCGGAATCTCCAATTTGATTTTTGAAACGATAAGCTCTCTCAAGGAGGCGCAGGCCATATGTGATGCTTTGAAAACCCACAATAATGTGAAGGCCATCATCTCGTTCACTTGTCGTCGAGTAAGTACTATGTGAACGTATGCATTATTCAGTATGTCATGTCTTACCAGAGTTCAGTGAATGTTCTAGGACGGCTTATCTCTTCGTCATGGAGAATCATTCGAAAGTGCTGTGAGACTTGTTTTAGAGAATACAAAGGTGAGAATAAGAGAAGTAAGCGAAAGAATGAACCATTGGTAAGGAATCTCCGAAACTACTAAGGGAGAAGCATTCGGTCGTCCTAAATGACAAATATCCTTGAGAAATAACTCACCCCGGTAATCAGTTGATATGTTCTGCCTTCCCCAGGCTTCCATTTAAAGGACGAATTCACGATGAAAAAGCAACCCATTTCAAATTAACCTAGGGATGGTGAGTGGTACACGAAAGAAGGAAGAACCATGAGAAACGGCCCAGAACCCGAGAAATGGGACCCCTTCCTTGCCCGTTGATTTGAGCATTGATGCGACTCTCATCGCTGTGCCCTCTTCAACACTACGCTCTCTCAGCTATCTAATCACTCGCCACGTATTGAACTACGGCGAGTGATCAGATGATCGGTGGGCGGAGATCGCCGGACCCGCCAGCTTTGAGGCATGATAGGTCGCCGAGGTCAAATTTTTCCATGCGAATTGCGCGTCAGTTCGCACCCTCAGGAGGTCCGTTCGGGTCGTCAATCTAG